AACATTATTCATAACAGCAAAAAGATGGAAACAACTGAAGTGCCCATTTTCAGATGAATCGATAAGCAGACTATGCTACATATACACAGTGGAATATTCCCAACACAAAAGAATAATGAGGAATTTGTAAAACACACAACATGGATTAACCTAGAGGACATTATACTGAGTGAAATAAGTCAACCACAAAAGGACAAATATTGCATGACACCACATTTATAAAAAGTCAAGAAAAGGTTTACAAACATAAACATTCTTTGGTGGTTGTCAGAGATGAGAGATAATTCACTAACTAGAGAGTAGACATGGATTAATGTGGGTGAAGAGAAAGGTGATCTACAGTAAGGGGGAGATCAGCACAACATTACTAAGGCAAAGGGTGACACTGTGAGGTGCACAAGAGTAAAATACATGAACAAAGGGAAATACTATTACATATACAATTCTGCAATAACAGTATTAACAAACACCACCTACGAGTAGATACATAGGTAGACAGGCCAGCTGAACAGATGTGGGAAGGCAAATGGGACTACACCCACAAGTGTAGATAGGCTTTGCAGAAGATATTTCTATACATGTCTTTGTATGTGCTGCAAATATGTCCAAGGATATAATAGAGCATACAGGGGCAAAGTTCTGAAAACTTCTTAGCCATGACCAAACACCTTGAGAGAATGAGTCACTGGGCTTGAAGACTCAGGACCACAGTCTCAGGGGACATCTAGATCAACTGCCATAACATAGCCCACAAAGACAATGTTCTATATCATACCTCGATGAATAGAGATTGGGATATTAAACACTTATGAGTGGCCATCTGAGAACTACTATTGGTCTCTCCTTGTCCTGAGCCAAGAAAAGAGAAGAAAATCAAAGACTCAAGGAAACAATTAATCCAAAGGATTAATGGGCCACGTGAACACCAGTCTTAACTATTGAGACCAGAAGAACTAGATGGTTCCTGGCTACCAATATTGACTGCTTTGACTAGGAACACAATAGAAAGTGCTGCTTAGAGAAGGTAAAAAAAATGAAGAACAAAATTCAAAATCATTAAAAAGACCAAACTTAATGGTCTGATAGAAATTGGTGGGACCACCGAGACTGTGGCCCTTAGATACACTTCAAGTCTGGAACCGAACCTATTCCCAAGGATCAACTTTCAGCCAAACAGCAGACATGCCTATAAGATGAACAGTAACACCACAGAGGAACATACTCCTCAGTACAACCAACCACACGAGACCAAAAGGGTAGCATTTGCAAAAACAAAGCTCAGAAGGCAGGAAGGAGTAGAAAAAAGGAAAAATGGAAACAAGAGAACCTGGGCAGGAAGTAGGAAGAGTGCTGTTACATGGAAGGGATTGCAACCAATGTCATGAAATAAAATGTGCCTACCTTGTTGAATGGGAAACTAATTTGCTCTGTAAACTTTCACCCAAATCACAATAAAAAAAATAAATAAATAAAAATAAAATATACACAGAGATTCTACCTTACTATTTAGATTACACAGGTCTGTTTATACTGTGATTCAAATCTTATCTCCGAGAATAAACTGACTGCCATGAAGTCAGATCTGATTCCTAGTGATTCCTCCTTGGGTTAACTATGGTATAACTATGGAAGTAGATTGCCCAACCTTCCTTCCAAGGAGTGGCTGGTGGGTATAAGTATGTAAAACAGAAGCCTAATGTAATGGACATAGGAGATCTGGTGGTGCAGTGGTTAAGGCATTTGGCTGCTAACCAAAAGATCAGTGGTTTGAACGCACCAGCTGCTCTGTAGGAGAAAGAAGAAGGAGTCTGCGTATGTAAAGAATTACAGCCTTGGAAACCCAATGAGGTCGCTATGAGTTGGAATCTACTTGATGGCAGTGAGTCTGGCTTTTGGAATGGATAGGATCCCTGAGGGCATTGTGGTTAAGCACTTGGCTGCTAAATGAAAGGTCAGCAGTTTGAACCCACCACCAACTCCACAGGACAAAGATGTGGCAGTATGCTTCTGTAAAGATTATAGCCTTGGAAACCTGATGGGGCAGTTCTACTCGGTCCTGTAGGGTTCCCATGAGTGGGAATCGAGTCAGTGGCAACAGGTTTGGTTTGTTTTTGCAGAATGTAATGTAGTTCTTGGCCCTGCCCTAGCCTTATAATGTTTCCTTTAGAATACAGACAACATTGATTAAGGTGATGATTCAATGCAGTAACACTAAGTGTAGTCCTACACTTAAGTAAAAGTCTGTATACTATTAGGATAATGTAAGAGAGGGCAGCTGGCTCAAGGTGAAGGACATTTCTTCCACTAATATAGTAGAAATGATTTCTTTAATATTTAACCCACCCTTTCCAAAGTTACATAAAACAAGCAGGTGATCCAATGATTCCAGAGCTCTGATTCTAAGGAGAGACAGGCAGTCACTTTCCAAAGATGTAAGACTAAGTGGTACGGCACATCCTTTTTCCATCCCTGAAGAGTGTGCCAAAATGTGTTCTGGTATACAAAATGGAGTGAAGATAAGCCCTAAAAAGTATGCTACTATTTTAGTTAACAAGAGCTCTGGTGGCAGGTCAGTGATTTGAACCCATCAGCCATTCCATGGGAGAAAGAGGCGGCAGTTTGCACCTGAAAAGATGTGCAGCCTTGGGAACTTTATGGGGCACTTCTATTTTGTCCTATAGGGTCACTGTGAGTCAGCATTGACTTGATGGCAGTGGGTGGGTATTTTGGTTAACACTGTCTTGACCTTAGGAAGGGAGGATAGTGAGATAAGAGAAAGTCTGGGGAGAAAGAAGACTCGAGGAGACTCACAGGGACCTGGGAATGAGCAGTATCTGGGACAAACTGGGATCTTCACTGGAGAAACCCGAGTGAAGATTCATCACTCACCTCATCCCCACTGTACTGCTTCAAACAATGAAGTAGGCGGCAGGTATTGGATAACCAGAACGATGTCATCTCAAAGTCATCATTGTGCTTCTGCAACAATACAAAGCAAGTCCCAGGTATGAGTAAACGGTTCCCACCTGATTAAACGCTTGCTCAGTACCTCTCCTTCCATGTTTCTTACCCATCATGCTCCAATCAGACTTGATGATGGCAGGGCATTTGCAGGCACAGACTGAGACCCATTGTCAAGGGGTCACATGACTGTTCCTCCACTTCTGGAGACGGTACACAGAACCTCTCTGGGGCCCCTGATCAGTGGCACAAACACATGCACACATACAAGGGACCAGCTCCCTTTGACAGCTGAAGAACACAAAGCCAGGTAACACAGACAAGGCTCTACACTAGCAGCCCTAGGCGCTGGTCTAACCTCATGGGCTAGATGGCCCTGGCTCTTCTGAACTATCAGTTAAGTAATTCAACATAATGGATGTTAAGGAGCATGCCAGTGAAATATGAAATATTTTGATATCCCATTTATCTGGAGGTTAAACGTCCTAATGGCTTTCTGGAAAAGTGCTACACTAAATTGAAAAGGGTACAAAATCACCCAAAGAGCTATGATACCATTTCTGCACTGAAACCAATGACCTCATGGAGCTCATATCCTGTCAGGGAAGCATTTGCTTTGTTTAAATTGTCAGGGATTTAAATTTAAATTGTAAGCTCCGACAAAAGTAACACAAGGAAATGGAATAGAGAATGACATGTAGGGGTGGGGCATGCTAATCGACGCATGTGGGTAGGGCAGGTTTCTCAAAGGATGTGACATTTGAGGTCAGTCCTTGATGATGAGAGGTGGCAGTCATGTATCCATCTGGTAGGAGAGGGCACAGGCAATCCAGAGGTTAAGAACAAGCTTAGCAAATTCTAGGGATGGAAGCAACGGACTGTGACTGAAGCATGGTGAACCCAGGGTGGAGAGGCAGTGAGCCGACAGGGCTGGACAACGTAGCACCCTGTGGTCATGGAGAGGAGTTTGACGTTTACCCTAAGTTGCAATGTGAAACCACTGTAGGGTGTTTTTAGTGCTATATTGTTTCGAGTTGAGATAATTCATATATCTAGAACTCATATACCCTAAATTCTCTTTTGAAGCATACAAATCAGTTGTTGTTGTTGTTGTTAGGTACTGTTGTCTCTAACTCATAGCAACCTTATGTACAAACAGAATGAAACACCACCTGGTGCTGTACCAGCCTCACAATACTTGCTGTACCTGAGCCCATCATTGCAGCCACTGTGTCAATCCATCTTGTGAGGGCCCTCCCCTTTTTTGCTGACCCTCCACTTTACCAAGCATCATATCCTTCTCCAGAGAATGATCCCTCTGACTATGACCAAAGGAGGTGA